CACATAGAGCAAATGTTTAACAAAAGAAAATGCCACGTAAAGATCACGTCTTAATGTTTTACCTTGTGGGCTTATGAAAATTTAGGGATTTCAAAAGCTTTTTAAATGTCAGTATTAGAAGACACAAAACAAAATGTGCCTTTCTCTTTAAAACACACTATGAGTAAAGTAAAAAGCTTTGGTACGTCTGGATAAAAAAGTGAGAGCTAAGAGGAACAAATAACAGCATGGAAATGGCATGTTAAGGGTATTTTAACATTGAAAGATTTTCTTAAAGAAGGACCCTCTTTTAAATTAATAGCTTCAGCTTCTTTGGTCTATCTCCGTTCTTTTTGTAAGTCCTAGAAGCTATTGAAAAGGTGTTGAAAATCATTTTAGAAAGACACTGAAAGATTAATTAAAGAATGAACGACAGAACTTTTCACAAAACATAAATCCTGAAAAATTCAAATATGTATATTGTTTACATTTGTACCATGAGGCACAGGGTTGCTTGAAGCTAAATGTGCATTGCTTGCAATGCAAAGTGCCCATTAAAAATATTTACCATCTTAGTTTAGTATGTTTGAATGGTAACAGCTTATTAGCATTAAACATAAAGTACAGCTGAGGCTGATATAAACATTTTTAGTTTTGCAGGTACATAAACATAAGTATTGGAAAACACATTTTGACCTGATGATGGTGCTAGATGAAAAGTTAATGCTTCACCAAAGTTATTACAATCATCATCATTCATAAATGTCCGAACCAAATTTCATGACAAACAAATTCGTTGTTGAGACAGTTCACTCAAAACTACAAAAGTGTAGAAAAGGTTAGAGAGTTTCCTAGAAGTTGGTAGCAAATGTTACTCAAACAGAAATAGTGCATTTTTTAGGGCTATTTTCTGCTGTTGATTAATCTAATATGGGCACCAGTACATTGTCTGTGGGATTGAGTCTAAATAAACTTCAGTGGCCATGTTCATGGTAATGAGGCAACATTTCACCCAGTGCAACACTGG